AACAACCAAATACTCTAAAATGAAATAGACATACATTTTTGTCACTCCAGGCTTCTTCGGGTAAGCCCTCCTCCTAAGGTACTAATGGACAACGGTTAATCAGATAAACTGCAGTGTTGATTGCTTCAGCCCAGAACTGTTTTGGCAAGTCTACATGCAACTTTATGCTCCTGACACGCTTCATGATTGTTTTGTTCATGAGCTCAACCACACCATTCTGCTGCAGTGTTCTTGGGACAGTGAACTCATGTTTGACCTCCTCTATAGCATAGAAATTCCTGAACTTCTGATCACGATGCTCACTTTCATTATTTGATCTGAGAAACTTCAGCTTCAAGTTTGTCTCATTTTCTACCATTGTTTTCCACTTCTTAAAAATTTCAAATACATCATATTTTTGTTTTAAGTACTAAATTCACACTTTTCTCATGTGATCGTCAAAAACCGTACAAAATAGTGAGAACCTTCAATGGAATGAACTGAATTAGGATTCCATACATCAATATGCACTAACTCCAGTTTCTTTGATTTCACCATTGACCTACTATAGGAGAAGAAATATTCATTTGTTTGTCATATATACAGTCTTCACAGAAATTCAGATCAATTGACTTCAAACCCTAAAGCTTATTCTTTAAAAGTAGGAACTTTATACATTTCTCGTTCATATGGCCAAGTCTATAGTGCCATAAAACTACATCCACCCTAGTTCCAACCACATCAATGAAATCAACCATTTCATTGATCAAATAAAGAGTGTCTTCAATGTTGCCCCGAGTCATCACTAATGCCCCCTGACCACCTTCTACCTGTGAAAATAGTCACAAGTCCTAACTTTGTCAACTAGCTCACAGAAATGAGATTTCTCTTCAAACTTGGAACATATCTAACTTAAGCAAGCTTCCAGACTGTTCCATTTGACAACTTGATATCAGCATCACCCTTTCATACTATATTACAGGTATTGTTTAAATCACTCTGAGTGTAATTTTTAAATACATATTTATTGAGGCAAGCATGAAAAAAGCACCTAAATCCACCATCCAGAATTCAGTATTGATTAGGGATAACACCACGGAGTCACTTTAGATTTCACCACTTGAGACATTAATAGAGTAACTACTTTCTTGTCCTCCATTACCAGCTTTCTTTGGAGCTTTGCAGTCCTTCTTGAAATGCCCTTCCTACTGCAGTTCCAACATTCTCCTTCGCTTGACTTGGGTTTTGTATTCCTGCTCGGATTCCTTCCACTATTATCACCGTTCAACTAAAACTTGAAGATTCACCATTCGTAACTTTTCCACAAACTTCTTCATTCAGAATCAAACACATGATGTCATCAAAGTTCAACTTCGAAGCCCATGAAGAATTACTCATCGTCGTTACCAAGTCATCCCAGTTGTCTGGTAATGAACATAGTATCGTCAAACATGATCTTCACATAACACAATTGGCTCGTCACAGTATTAAAGTTATGAAGAAGTTCTATCACTGAACTATCTTCTACTATCTTCATGTTAAATAATTTTTTCATCAGAAAAATCTTATTAGAAGCAGCAAATTTTTTGTACATCTTAGTCAATGCTGCCATGAGATCCACCATAATTTTCTCATTAACAATATTGAATGTAACAAATGATGAAAGTGATAACCTAATCAAACTCAGTGTCGTTCGATCTAACACTTCTCATTCCTCTATAGGCATGAATTAAGGCTTCCTTGTGATTCTTTGAAGTGGCAAATATAATTTTTTCTGATACAACAAATCTTCCACCTGAATCTTCCAAAAAGCAAAGTTCGTCCCATTGAACTTCTCTACTTTTAACTCTGCTTCTTCTAACCCTGCTTCTTCAGTCATTGCTCTCACTCGAATCGAACCCCTCTCTGATACCAGTTTGATAGAAATTTTGCAAATTTATTGGGGCATAGGTCGATAAAAAAATTGGAACACAAATTGAAGCAAAAGTACATCAAAGCAATCAGAAAAGTACACATAAATTTATGTGAAAAAACTTGAGAACAGGAAAAAATCATGGAGTCGTACCATCAAAAACTTTCACTATAAAATTCAAAAAATTTTACAAAAAACTCACAAGTTTTCTCTCCACACACAAAGAAAACTTACAGGATACACTTCACAATCTTCCCTCTCTGATCCAACATAAAATGATATTGAATCATTGAAATCCACCTCCTCGACAAGCCTCACCTTCACTGGGATGCTCGTCGAAGAATTCAGAAGAAAGAAACTCAAAGCGCAATTAAAAAATGCTCAAAATCGGGATTAAAAGAAAATCTAAAAAGAAAACTGCCCTGGGCGCTCAGTCGTCAAGTCGGCGACCAATAATGGGCGCCAATAAACCTGCGCATAGGCGCCGGTCTCTCTGGATGCGGGCGCATATGCGCCCAAAGTCGGCGCCTAAGCGCCGACTACACAGTAAGCCACGCACATAACTGGCGTCTGTGCTCCGGCTGGAGCCAGCTCCCTACTTTGTCTCCATAAATTGTAACAACCCGGACCAAAGTCTCTTGTCCAAGGAGGGGATGAAGCTATCAAAACATTAAAAACATATAGAAAATATAATCCAAAATAGAAACAGTCAATAAATAAAGAAATTTTCTCTTGGAATAGAATACCAGAAAATTGTATACAAAAGAACGTTTACTATTTCAATTTTAATAGTTGCTACCAAACATACAACGTTATATCTTACAAGAGAAAAGACTCATAGAGTACAACCAAAAAAAACATCCAAGACTTATTAGCACATCAAAATTTCTCAGCCTAACCCCGTAGGTAGTAACAAAGAAATACCATAAGGCGTTAAACATAAAAAAGTTGGATCACGTGTGGACAAAAAGACTTTTGGGACCCTGTATTTTGTTTCATAATCAAATAACCCTTCGATTATGGTTGATAAAGAACTCATTTTCCCAAGTAAAATACCCACATGTTCCATTATCCAAAAAGGCTTGAAAACGATGTCTATTGTAAGCCAATGCTACCTGGTAGAGATTCATCATGAAAAAGAAAGAGTGATGGAATAGCACTAATGTCCAACATAAACATTTGGATATCAAGTTATTAACATGTCCAAAAATAAATCCAACATATCCTTATTTAAAAAGTAAGATTTATACAAAATGTCATCGACAAGCTTGTCTACAAAATAGGTTATATCATTTGTATTTAATAAGAAGACCAAATATCTCCACTCCTTGCAAAAACAAAATTTATGAATATACAAATCCAAATCAAATCACGATGCACATTCAAATTAAATCCTTTCAAAACTTCCCAAAAACATACGAGACCATATCATGTTTTTTAGTGGAAAACTCATTGAAATTTACTTAAGAAGCTTACTGGAGGGAAAATTTTTTCAGGCCAATTGTAGGAAAAGAAGCAATTCTGAGTTATCTAAATGTTTAGCATATCAGCCAGTCAAATAACATAAATAAATCCACAAGCATCAAAATCTCTCATGCATAATCTTCACTCAGATTGGGTAGGTGCAGTGGTTGAATATTCAATTTTCTATTCTTCCATTTTCTATCTTAAGATGTTAACAATCCTTTGAAAGAATCTTAGTTGTATGCTTTATTGTTAAGAAAGTATAATTAGAAGCCCCTTCTGTTTTAATTGAAATATGGAGTGAGTTCATGAGTATACAATTAAGCCAGTTAAAGGTGTCGTCGGATGGGCTAATAAGCTAGACTGTCTATAATTAAAAATTGAAGGAAAAAAAAACTAGACTATCTATAATATCTTTGCCCCATTCATCAAAAGTTAAGACCAATTCAGAAAGTTTGTCCATGTAGCAAGCCATTTAGGCCAGTCAAAGTGGCATTAGTTTGTTTCAATGCATGTATTTTGGCAAAATTAGAATTGAAAAAAATTTGAAGGACTTTGAAAACACCTTAATTTTTACTTTTCAAATAAAATAACATAAAATTAAAACAAAAAAAAAATTTAGAGCACTGCTTATAATTAAAATGAGATGAAGTGGCTTAGCTACAAGCAAGATTTAGTAAATCATGAAAATCCAAATTTAGTAAACCTTAAGAGGAGTAAAACCAGATAAATTTATTTTGCATGACTACTATTAAATTGTGTTGAATCCTGATAAAATGTCTGTCTGTTTATTTTAGAATGTAAGATTTTTGACAGGAATGATCCTTAATTCCAATAAATATTGTGAATGGTGAGAATTAACAAATCCTGAATTTGAATAATAACAGGAGCTGAAATGGGACCGTATCAACATAGTGAGGCTAAGCCCCTTAAATTCATGATTAAATCCTTCCCAAAAAAGGGGCACCAAACAGCTCAAAAAGGTATAAGTAAAACTCTATCCAATTCACGTTAACATTTTAACCAAGTTCATAATAAGTGAGTTAATAAAAATCAAAGAAAATTCACTTTCAGAACTCAGATCGAACCAATTTCAAACATGTGGATTGAAACAAATTGCGCAGTCCTGCCTACAATGAACTAGTAAACCAATAAGATCTAAAAGTTGGAATCCAAACCAAATCACTCTGTTTTGCATCTTCTTCGTAAGCAACAGTACACGGGAATGTTAGTTACAATTAAGATTTAATTCAGAAAAGTTTTAGTAAATTTCGTGAATCCATATTTACCAAATTCCTGAGGAACTAAATCCTGAAAACTATTTGCAAGATAAAGGTTAAACTTGTTAAATCATAGTAAACTATCTTGCAAATACTTAAAATTTTGAGATTTAAATGAAGAAGAAGAAAAGGAGAAATAAGAAAAAGCTCGAGTAATTATTTTTAATCACACTACCGCGGGATTCGGTAAATCGAGGATTTAGCCCAAAACATGAAGAAAAATGAATTTAATAAAAGATCGGGATTTATGCAGCTGAAAAAACTGTTTGAAAAGATCCATCCTAAATACAGGATAAATATTAGCAAAATATTGCAGCCAAAGGGCAGTTCCAATCAAAATATCTGGATTGAGAACAACTACTTACCTTCCAAATTCATATTTCCCAAGGATGATCCACCCCGTGATTCCAATATAATAGAATCTGAACTGATAAAATTCCTCACAAAACCATCATCAAAGCCCTAATACACACTAACAAAGTAGAAAATCACCACAATCTGGAAGTACATATAGCATAGCGAGGCTCACTCCTAAAAGCTTGATCTGACTACAGGAAACGAATTTCAACTGCAAAGAAAGAACTAACATACGAAGCGATCCCATCTCAAAAACAAAGGGCGCCTAGTGATTACCTGGCGCTCGGAGGAGGAGTTCCCATCGTCGCCGACTCGAACCATGCATGTCTCCCTGCGACTTACAGCGGCGAAGTAAATGCATCGCGGAAGGAGACAAGATGACAAGGTCGGCAACTCGCTTTTGAGATTCGTGTTTCTGGACAAATGCACGGTTGGATGTTCTCTTAACTTAGCGGATTTCTGTTTCTTTTTTTCCCTCAAAGGATATGTATGATAAATTTACATGCATGCCACGCAATTTTTATATATTAATATTTAAATATAATATTTAAATTTTATATTTTGTATTTGTAATATTTTAGTGCTATAAATTTCTGTAAGATGTGATATAAAGGGAATTTCAAATTTAATTTATTAAAGAAATTTTTTTTTAAAGCCCAAATAATATAAAAATTCTCAATATTTGAGAATTCAATTTTAAGATTTATTCGCTATTAACATGATATCCGAATCCTGCGCTTCTTAAAACTCGGTAATTATGTAATAAGCAACTTAGGCTGCTCTTAAAATAATTGTTTCATAATTTTTTTACGATATATATATATACATATATATAGGGAGGCTTCTTTTTTTATTTTATTTGCGGCTATAACCATTCTTAATGCTACAACTTTGAGAAAATCGTTATCCAGCTGCCACATAACTTTTAAGAAACTGAATTTATCGTGCTGATTTCACAGATAATTACAAAAGTAAGGTTCGGTGTTCTCATTATTAAAGAAGGATAATGCCGAAAAATTCTGATGAATTACAAATGTCAATGGCACAATAATCTCCAGTGTTGAAAAAATGAAAAACAAAAACTAGCTAATATGAAAAGACAAGTTAGGAATATGAAATTCAAAAGATGAGCTATTCAGCATCATATACAAACTGACTATTCCATGATGTAGCTCTAATAATACTATACATAATCATATAAGCAAGATTGTGGTTCATTAATCAGAGAAATTTGGATTAAAAAAACAAAAGAAAAATTAGTTTCCCTGCTGCTGGTTATGAAAAATTCTCCAGTACTCATATGGCACTCCAGTATTATCTTGGCATGGTGTCAAGCCTGCTGTGATAAGATGAGGGAAACTGGAGACCAGAACCGCTGCGGCTTGATGTGGGACAAATCCAGCACAGAATATTAGATCCAAGCACCTGATAAAAATATGAGATCGAACTGGAGATCAACAAATAAATAAATAAAATTTATTACAACATTTAGATAAACCAAGGCGGTAAATGACGAGTGTGATTCGTGCTTGAGATCGGCTCATTCAAACTTTTTTTTGTTTTGTTTGAGGTTGGCTCATGTTCAATTATGAATTGTAATCATGTGTTTTTATTCAGTTCGATTTATGCTTATTAGACATCTTAGGCTCTTGTTCAGCCCCATTGCAGTTAGATTTCAATAATTAAATCTAAATAAAAAACTATGTTCATAAAAAATGAATTATAGATCCTCTAACATTAAACTTTACACACTAAATTAGTTCCCATATATAAAACCAAAATAGCAACTCATAAGTGAGAAACTACCTACCAATAAGCAACATTGACAATAACAAGAGACTTCCCATTAATGCTGTCATCATCACATTGTTCTGTTCTCTATACAGTATGCTCATCTCTTTTTAAGCACTTTATTACAATAATGAAAAGCTACATCTTTACACTTGTTATTATGTGAAGTCTGAATGTGTCAATCAATTGTCACCTCAGAGCCCTCAATTTCATTGTTCAAGCTTGATGATGAGTTTGTTGGGAGATACGGGGGAGTCGTGCCCCCGTAGCACTGTTCCCAAAAAAAAAATCATACATAGCACCTCAAGGCAGTACTTGCGGCGTTGAGACCAGCAGCGACCCAATGCCCGAAAGACTGAGCAGCCACGTCCAGTCTAGTTTCAAAACCGGAGAGAAAAACACTGTAGCACCCGTAACAGATTTTGGGCAGTTTTGTTACATATTATGACGGTTTTGTTGATTGGTGAGTGTTGGATTTCAAATTCTCCTGTGCAAGGGATAGAAGAGGAGTGCCCTGGAGTGTTCCAAATTGCGGAAAGACTCAAGTGTGGTGTAATTTATATGATTCTCCTCATTTTCTTGATAGTGAATTTTTTTGTGTGATGCGGCTCTATAATTTTTTTCCCGTTCTCGGGTTTTTCCACATTAAATCTTGTGTTTTTAGTGGTTTTTTTTTGTTCGTTTTTGTTCAAGTTTTGTTTTGTATCTCTCAAATCAATTTATGTTGTTTTAATAGCTTCCAATAATACTTTCCCGGAGACTTCTTTAGGTTATGAATTGTGTCAAACCACTCCCCTAATGATTTACATGAGATCATTTTAGTCCTAGAATATATGCAACAGCAACAACAATCATTTATCCCACTAAGTGTGGTCAGTTACATGAATGCCTTGTCTCCATTGTGTTCTACTGAGTGTTCTATTTTCATTTAATTCTAATAAATTAAGATTATTTTTTATATAATATGCCCAAGCCTTTTTCCTTTTTAGGTCTACCTCTGTCTCTACCTCTGTCTTTCTTAACATAAGTTAAATAAAAAATATCTACTCTCCTAACAGGATCATCAGATGGATATATATATATACATACATACATAACGACACTCTCTATTCTTGTTTGTCACTGGAGCTACACCAACCCTATCATGGATTAAAGGATTCATATCATGATTTTTTTATAAAAATTTTATGTTGGTTGTCGAATGTATGACGCAACCTTCCATTTTTCGCATCTGGGACTTGAGACCCTGCAATGACAGTAATATTAGTCTTAGAGATTATATAAGTATCAAGTTAGTCTCTACACTACTTTAATATGGACTAAAATAGACACCAAGGACTATTTGAGACGTTGTTAAAAGAATATGGGGGGATAAATTGACATTTGTATATACTCTGCGACTAAAATGACTCTTGCACAAAGTCAGGGGACTATTTTGACAACTTTCCCATTTTGTTATGAATGAAAGAAGCCCTTTCCAAGATCTTCCCCCCTCCAATTTCCATTCTATTTTATTCTATTTCTATATCCATTCTTTTATATATTATAACATTCTCTACATAGTTGCCGCAAATCTTTCCAACACCGGACAACCTCAGCAACACTAAACAAAGCCTACCAACTTCTATAGCATTAGTCAGCCACTAGAAGTTGCTAACTTGCTATAGAATGGACAAGCTCATTGACACAAACTGGACGCCACCCATACCCACTAGAAACACCAACTCCTTCGCTGTGAAACTGCAACAGTTCTCCCCCCGGCAGCCCGACACAACTTAGACGCTAAGCTCCGCAACTTAAGGAACAGCTGATCTCATAAATGCGAGAAGAGATCACAAGGAAATCATAAAAGCCACACTTCTCTTCTCGTCTGTTTGCACTGCTAGTAGCAAATAAAGTTTCAAAGGAAGATTTACATATATACCACTCAATTCCTAAATATTTACATATCTAACACCTACGCATGTATGAAAAGATGTATTTCACCTTTTAGAAGTTAAATGTTGGCATTTATGATGTGATATGAAAGATTTGGATGGTATAAATGTAAAACATAAAATTTAGGCGTTACATATGTAAATAAATAGGATTTGGGTGGTATGTATGTAGATTCCCCAATTTCAAAATGAATAGGTTGGTTGCAGCCAGGAAAACAACCAACAAATTTATTGGAGAATATCATGGTTGAAATCTAGCAACAAATTCGACTATAACTGTTGAGAAATTAGGGCGAAGAAAAACAGGAATCGACATAAATCCAGAAGAACGCAAAGATTTAACGAGGTTCGGCAAAGATGCCTAGGTCCTCGGGAGCAGAGCGGCGAGTTATTTTACTATTCAGAAAAAAGAATATAGAAATCAGGGATACCTCCTAGGGTTACTAACATGCTTATTTATAACCCCAAGAGTAAACCTTAAGTGCAATACGTAATTACAATATTACTCATATACCGTACCGCGGGGCGTTGCCCCCGCACCCCCAACCCATGTAACTTCCTGATTTGGACAGATACTTCTGCTTCTCTTCGATCCAGTGTCTGTCTCTATATGTTGTATGAGTCATACCATAACAAATCTCCACCTTGGCGAATATTCAGCCCATTAGGAGAAAAGATACGATACCTAGGAGTTACACCTGCAC